CTCTGGTCTATTTTACATTTAATAATAGGAAAGGGTATGCCTGTTTAATTCCGTAGCGCCTAGATTATTGATACTGTGTGTAGAAGTTACTGAGTGTATAGCTCACTGGATGTGTCTTTTTCCGGGGAGGAGAAAAAGTCATTGTAATTTTGAGGACTTTATTTGTTCATTTATTTAGAGTAATCCAAACAACATAGAATGATCCAATTAGAATAGCACCACATCATAAAATATTACTGCTTTAAAATGTATGGATAGAACACTTCTGTGCATTGTTACTTTCAGCCTGCTGCAACTGGAGTGGCGTCCTGAATGCAAATTGGACCTTATAGGTATTGCCTGTACAGCACGGTGTCACCGGTGGGGACAAAACACTCACGCTCCCGGCCCAGATCAGTGCTGATCTAGAAGGCGACAGTGTCTTATACTATTACTGGCAGTCATCACATTCCGCTCACATCTCCCTCACACAACACTTCCTCTACCACACGACCAAATGTGAACCTCTGCAGAGAAACTCACACGCTGCTATTTCTAGGCATGACTCTGTCAGTTCAAGTATTGCTATCAGATTCTGCTGGGTGAAAGTGCCTCTTCGGCAAAGGGACCAGAAGGACAAGGGCACAAAGATGGAAATCCAGGGCACCATCACTAAGGCGGAGGTCTTGAAGGAGAGTAGGGAATTTCCCCCATACCCATTGCTTACCTGGGCCAGGGTTGGAGGATCCCAAAGGTTATGCCCTTGAATTTTTCTCTTGGACTTTTTGCCTCAGACTGAAAAACACAGGTCCCCACTGCTTCCCATAGCTCACAGTGCCCATATCTGGGTACATCCTAGTGACCGAGACAGCCCTTCCATTCATCAGCATAGGCAGAAAAGGATTCCTACATTTTTCCACATACCTTGGCAACCAAAGTATTTTCATAGTTTAGAAAACCATAATTCATTTGAGCAGTGTTATAAAAAACAAAGTGATTGGTATTAAAAAAAATAAAAAGCATCCCTGCAGCCACCATATTTTCATTGTGTCTTGTGGATGATTATCATATCTTGTGTCTTTTAAATCTTACGCCAAGCTCTCAGTAGAAAGTGGTATCTCCTTTTGCAAATTTCAGCCTTCCACATATCTAAGGATGTTCTCTCCATAAGGAAGATGGCAAACAAAACATTCCCTATGTGTCTATGGGCTTGCTTCCTGTTCAAGCTATCCAAACAAATGGGTAAAGATGTTTTGCTTTAAACTGAGCAATACTGGAGCTGTAAAAACAGTTAAAAACTGTGAAGTCCACATTATCTCTCTTTTTATCTATTTACAAGTATACTTATCTATTTATTTATGATTTTGTTCTTTTTAAACTTTTATTAATTTTATTGGTACATTTAAAGTATACAATATGACATTCATTGTTGGAAATTTGTACCTTTACATAATCAATCTGGCTTTTTATTTTTTTTCTCCATTCCCCTGCTTTAAAAGTACATCTGCCTTTCTCAAATGACCAATGATGTTAAACATTTTTCATGTTTATTTGCTGTTTCTACTTCATCTGAAAAATGCCTGTGCTACACACTTTTTCTTTTTTTTTTTTTTGAGACAGAGTCTTGCTATATAGTTCAGGTTGGCCTTGCACTTACTTTGTAGCCCAGACTGACCTCAAACTGTGAGTGATCCTCCTGTCGCAGCCTCCCAAGTGCTGGGATTTTAGGTGTGCACCACCACACCTGGCCCTTTGTTACACACATTTGAAAGTGTGTCACATTATGTATCTTCCTTTTGTGCTCATTTACATATTGGTAGTTTTCTTTCCTTAGCATGCAGGTGGTTCTCACAGCTGGTAATGCTGGTTATGGGTTCAAACACAAGTGCTCCTGGTTCTTGCCACATGCCTGTTAAGCAGAACTATTTCTTGTAAGACAACTCTCCCCTCTACCCCATCACAAAACAAATTTGAGAGGAAAATATTTAGCAAGGGCAAAAAGGAAGAAAGGAAACTATATTATTTTTAAAGCTTTACCCTAAATTTTAAAGATGTAAAAAATAACAAAGAAATTTCCAAGTTGATACAATTTCAACAATTCAAACTTTTGATCTCCCTTCCTCACAAATACTATTGTGGCTCAGTGGTTTTTGTCCCTCAGTGGTTCCAAAACCCCTATCAATACAAAAATCCATAGATGCTCAAGTCCCTTATATGAAATGCCATAGGATTTACATGTAACCTATGCACATTCTCTCATATGCTTAAATCATCTCTAGATGACTTATGGTACTGAATACAATGTAAATGCTATTTAAATAGGTGTAACACTGTATTATTTAGAGAATAATGACAGAAAGAAGTCTGTGTTTCACTAAAATGCAATTTTTAAAAAATAATATATTTCAACCTGTGGTTGGTTGAATCTTCCAGTGCATATTTGCATATACAGAAGGAGAACAATTGCATATAATAAGTATGAAAGGCTTTCTCTGGAATATATTTCTATAACTAAAGCAGGATGCAGGACTTCTAAACTATAAGATGATGCTTGGTAATAAATCTCTACTAGCTGAGCCAGCCTTTTAAAGGTAAAATAATGCTAATAATAATTAAAGTGGTCTTGTTTCATTCGTGTACCCCTAGTTTCCCCCCATTTTTACCATATTAGTGGCCAACATGAAATGAAGTTAAAATGGGAAGAACACTGGGAAG